GGATGCAGGGCACAGGGATGGGACTCTTGCAATCCCAGTGGGACATTCCCACTATCCCGTGTCACACTCCCACTATCCCGATGGCACATTCCCACTATCCCAGTGGGACATTCCCCCTATCCCGATGCCCCATTCCCACTATCCTGTGCCCCATTCCCGCTATCCCGATGCCCCATTCCTGCTATCCTGTGCCCCATTCCCTCTATCCCAGTGCCCCATTCCCACTATCCTGTGCTCCATTCCCACTCTCCCTGTGCCCCATTCCCACTATCCCGGTGTCCCATTCACTCTATCCCAGTGCCCCATTCCCGCTATCCCAGTGCCCCATTCCCACTATCCTGTGCCCCATTCCCACTATCCTGTGCCCCATTCCTGCTATCCCAATGCCCCATTCCCACTATCCTGTGCCCCATTCCCACTATCCTGTGCCCCATTCCCCCTATCCAGTGCCCCATTCCCCCCTCCTGTGCCCCATTCCTGCTATTCCAGTGCCCCATTCCCTCTATCCCAGTGGCCCATTCCCCCTCTCCTGTGCCCCATTCCCTCTATCCCAGTGCCCCATTCCCACTCTCCTGTGCCCCATTCCTGCTATCCCAGTGCCCCATTCCCACTATCCTGTGCCCCATTCCCACTATCCAGTGCCCCATTCCCCCATCCCAGTGCCCCATTCCCCCTCTCCCTTTGCCCCATTCCCATTATCCCTGTGCCCCATTCCCTCTATCCCAATGCCCCATTCCCACTATCCTTTGCCCCATTCCCATTATCCCTTTGCCCCATTCCCATTATCCTTTGCCCCATTCCCATTATCCTTTGCCCCATTCCCATTATCCTTTGCCCCATTCCCACTATCCCTTTGCCCCATTCCCATTATCCTTTGCCCCATTCCCATTATCCTTTGCCCCATTCCCATTATCCCTGTGCCCCATTCCCACTATCCTTTGCCCCATTCCCATTATCCCTTTGCCCCATTCCCATTATCCTTTGCCCCATTCCCATTATCCCTTTGCCCCATTCCCATTATCCCTTTGCCCCATTCCCTCTCTCCTTTGCCCCATTCCCATTATCCTTTGCCCCATTCCCTCTATCCCTTTGCCCCATTCCCATTATCCCTGTGCCCCATTCCCATTATCCCTTTGCCCCATTCCCCCTCTCCCAGTGCCCCATTCCCTCTATCCCAGTGCCCCATTCCCATTATCCTTTGCCCCATTCCCCCTCTCCTTTGCCCCATTCCCATTATCCTTTGCCCCATTCCCATTATCCCTCCGTTCTCACCCAGCAGCAGCAGCGGGCGGCCGGACAGGGACGCGTTCTCCAGGTGCAGCACCACGAGGCTGCTGCTGATGCGCAGCGCCCGCGCCACGAACGGGGCCGCGTGGTCCAGGAGCGGCGTGTTCCGGGCATCCAGGTACTGCAGGCAGTTGGTCTGGGCAACAGGGAATGCCGTGCCATGGGAATCACACCCCCCCCCATTGACCACCCAGGCCAGATCCCAGCCCGGCCACCGGGCTCCTGCACTGCACCCATCGGATGGGAGGGCAGGAGGAGCTGCTCCGAGAAGCCCTCGCCGTGCTTCCAATGGGAAGCGGGCAATCCCACCCGGAGAACCAGCTCTGTCCCAGCTTTCCAGAGCTTAACGGCCCCAAACTCAATGGGATTTGAGAGGAGGGGGGGGGATGCCCCAGGGGAAGCTCAGGTTGGACACGGGGAAGTTCTGCACTCTGGGAAACTGGGATGAAGGTTTGGAGCCAGCTGCCCTATGGAAGGCATCCCTGTGGGTCGGAGCCGGATGATGGGAAGCTCCTATCCCAACCCATCCCAGGGCTGCAGCCTCCCAAGGGAGTCTCCGGCTCCTTCACCCCACAACTGGGTCTGAAGCACCACGAGGGGCTCCGGCAGCACCTTTGGCTCCTGCAAGCCATGGGCTGGGCCCTGCAGATCCCAGCTCAGCCCCATCCTGCATCCCGAGGGATAATTGCGGAGCGAGGGTGGTTGCTGCCTCACCCTGAGCTGCCTCCTCCTCCTCCTTGGCTCCAGCTCAGCTCCGCAATGAGGTCAATGAGGCAAAGCCCAACAGTGCCCATCCGGTGGGAGGATAATGAGCACCCGGCTCCAGAGGCTGGGATCGGTGCTTCCATGGGCTCCATTCCACAGCCAAGGCCTTCCCAACCCATATCCCAACCCCTATCCCAGCCCGTGGGGCCGCCTATGGGGGGCTCAAGGAGACACGGGATGGAGGGATGGGATAATGGCTTTGACCTGATAAGAGGGGGGGGATTGAGATGGGGTCTGGGGAGGGAGAGCCTCACCACGAGGCTGCTGGCACACCGGCATGGGTTGGAGGGAGAAGATTTGGCTGCTCCATCCCTACGGATGCTCCCGCTTTGGCTGCTCCACCACGGAAGGTGGGGATCAACCTCCAGCTCCTTCCCACCCCGTTGCCATGCTGCAAGGCTGATGTTCCCCCCCTTTCCCGCGCCGTGCCTCGGGAACAGAGCCGCACGAACCCAATCCCGAGGGATGCAGGGCACCCATGGGTGCTGGGAGCACCCACCTTGCGCATCATGTGCGCGGCCGCCTGCCAGCCGCGGGTGCCGATGTGCTTGTTGAAGGAGATGTTGAGGTGCGTGGCCGACTCGTAGTACTCGATCATGTCAAACAGCGCCGAGGCTCCCTATGGGCACAGGGAAAAACCTTGGGAATTGCTTGGGAAAGGAGGGGGGAAAAGGGGCTCCTCCGGATGCCTCTCCCGGCCCCACGGAGCCCTGCAGCCCCACAGCAAAGCCCACGCGTTCAATTCCCCTCCCTGGCCGTGTCCCCTCTGCTCTCCACCATGGACGGCATTCCCGGTGTTCCCAGCACTGGGAATAGCTCCGGGGCTCTCACTGGAGCCATCTTCATGGGGGGAGCCAGCCAGGAGGTGGCACCTTGCAAAGGGATCCAAGCCCTGGGCACCCAGGTTGTGGCCATGGAGGGACTTGAAGGATGCTTCCAAGGATACAGGTAAATGGGATTGCCTTTGGATCATTGGCTGGTTGCTCCGGGGGGGATTTGCCAGCCCTTCCCAGGCCAAGGAAGCATCCAAGGGGGCTCCAAACCAAAGGTGCAACCCAGGCCTTACAGCAGGCTTTGGGAGCAGCACAGCAGGATTTGGGCCTGGGAAAGGTCCCAGGGCTCCTCTGGCACAATGAATCCCTATGGAGCTGAGCACGGGCAGCATTCCCGTTTGCCCCACTTCCCATTGGATCGAGCACGGGAGTCAGAGGGGTGGGGGGGGGGGAACTCAGGTCACTCACGTCCTCATCCAGGCTCGTCTGCTCCAGGTCCACGATCTTGAACTGGACCCGCTTGAAGATCTCCTCCAGCGCCTCGCAGGCCTTGTAATCCAGCTTCTCCCCTGGGAAAAGTGGGATGAGCTCCGGGAGGACCCGTGGGGAGAGGGATTCCCCCCCCCATCCCCTCCCCAACGACCCCCATATGGGGCATTCCCAAGTTATTCCCTGCAGGAGACATCCCTTGTGGGGAAGGGAGGGCAATGCAATCCCTCTGCTCGCTGGAGCTACCGGAGATGCTCCATAGGAGCCAGGGGTGGCTGTAGGGAACCATTCCCAGTTTTCCTACTGGAGCTTCAAGACCAAAAGCGTGGGGCAAATGGGCTCCTGCTTATCCCTGTGTGCCAAAGGGGCTGTTGTGGGATGAGGATCCTGCTGGAAGGCTGGAGGATCCCTCAGCCTGGAATTCCCTCTTCTGGGATTAAGGCTATGAGAGCCCCGACTGGGAGCACAATTCCAGCCGGGAATGGTCCCGGAAGAGGACACAGGTCCATGGGGATGGCCGGAGCAAGGCCTCACCTTTGAGATCCAAGCAGTCTATCCTGGGAGCCAGCTCCTTGAACTCCTGCAGAGGGAAGAGCAGGGACAAGGGAAGAGCTTGGAGCATCCCATCGGGTTTGTGTTAACCCCATGGGGAGGCAGAGCGGGGACTTCAGCCCGGATTCCCGTTGGGAATGGGGGGGTTGAGCCCCAGCTCTACCTGGATCTGCTTCAGGAGCTTGGGGATCTGCTTGCAGTTGAGCTTCTGGCAGGCCTGCTTGTAGGCACTCAGGATTTCCTCCACCGTCACGTTCTGGGCTGCAAGGACACGGGGAAGGGATGAGCTTCCCACACTGCGCCATGGGAATCCCTGTTATCCACCGGGATCTGCACCCAGGCAAGGAGATGACAGGGATTTGCCTGCTCCAACACAAAGGACACGGATGGGAGCCAGTCCCGGCTTCTTTGGGCAGGAATGGGGCTGGAAAAGCCAACCCAGCTCTTCCAAGGGTGCTCTGGCTCCCTGAGGAGCAGGAAGGCTTTTGGGATAACAAATCACGTCAGATGCGTTCCTCCTGGAACACAGGCCAGGAAAGCATGGAATCATGGAATGACGGGGGCTGGGAAGCACCTTAAAGTTCCATGGGAAGGGTGCGGAGCCCACGTTGCTCCAAGCCCCGTGGAACCAAACCTTCTCCGCTCATCCCAGCATCCCAACGGGCTCCGAGGGGAGAGCTTCCCCCCTGGATCCCATCTCCAGCCATTCCCCGTGTCCCCAAAGGGTTGAGCTGCAATTCCCATCGGGAAGCTCCTGCCCTTCCGCACTGCGGGCTGAGGCCGCTGCTCCGGATGCTGTGGGCTGAGGGCGGCGATGCCCGCTTTGCCTTGGCCCCACACAAACACTGCAGCTATTCCCGGTGGGAAGCGGAGCAGGAGGAACCAGCTCCCCAAGGAAGCTCACCCGGCCAAGCACAAACAGCCCCAGCCCGTCCTCATCCTGCCATCCCCATGGATTGCGCCATATGATCCCGGAGAGGGATGGAAAACCACCGGGATTCCTTCCACCCGCTCCCTGCTGAGAGCCCCGGGGGACACGGGAATGGGGGAAGGCTGGGATTGAGCCTGAAGGGTTTTCCCAACCTGGTTGACTCTTCCATGCTTCCCTGACACGGGATATGATTCCCTAGGAGCTGAAGGGGGGAAACACGCCAACAGCAGGAAAAGTCCCCTGATCCCATCAGCTTTCCTCCCGCAAACCAAGCGTGCTCGGGAGCCGAGGGTCAGCGCTATTCCCATGGGAATGAGCATCTCCCAGCCGGCTCCAGGAGGTCCCAGCTGAAGGATTCCCTGTCCCAAAGGAGCTCCAGCACCACACAGGCTCTGGTGCCCTCTCCTGGGGGAAGCTTTCTCCACCTCTTTTGCTGGAGGATGGGATTTGTGCTGCTCTGGCCCATCCCGGGCCCACTTCCCACCAGCATCACCGGGATCAGGACCCCTGGATTCGCTCCTAAAGCCCTTGGAATCACGACATGGGTCGGGTTGGAGAAGACCTTAAAGCTCAGCCAGGCCCAGCCAAGGGCCCTTGATGGTGATGGAGCATCCAACCAACTCACGCCAGTGTCCCACCACCCGCATGGGAAGAGCTTCATCCCAAGAGCCCATCCACCTCTTCCATCCCATCCCATCCCATCCCATCCCATCCCATCCCATCCCATCCCATCCCATCCCATCCCATCCCATCCCTCCCGTGTCCAAAGCCCTGCTCCAGGTCTCCTGATGTTGGCAACCCCAGACCTGGCCCCAGTGCTCCAGGAGAGTCCCCCCCTTGGCCCTGCTGCTCCCATAGGACACAGTGGGGAGCTCCCATAGGACACAGTGGGGAGCTCCCATAGGACACAGTGGGGAGCTCCCATAGGACACAGTGGGGAGCTCCCATAGGACACAGTGGGGAGCTCCCATAGGACACAGTGGAGCTCCCATAGAACACAGTGGGGAGCTCCCATAGGACACAGTGGAGCTCCCATAGGACACAGTGGGGAGCTCCCATAGGACACAATGGGAAGCTCCCATAGGACACAGTGGAGCTCCCATAGGATGCAATGGGGAGCTCCCATAGGACACAGTGGGAGCTCCCATAGGACGCAGTGGGGAGCTCCCATAGGACACAGTGGGGAGCTCCCATAGGACACAACGAGGAGCTCCCATAGGACACAACGGGGAGCTCCCATAGGACACAATGGGAGCTCCCATAGGACACAGTGGGGAGCTCCCATAGGACACAGTGGGGAGCTCCCATAGGACGCAATGGGAAGCTCCCATAGGATGCAATGGGAAGCTCCCATAGGATGCAATGGGAAGCTCCCATAAGACACAGTGGGGAGCTCCCATAGGACACAATGGGGAGCTCTCATAGGACACAGTGGGGAGCTCCCATAGGACACAATGGGGAGCTCCCATAGGACACAATGGGGAGCTCCCATAGGATGCAATGGGGAGCTCCCATAGGATGCAATGGGGAGCTCCCATAGGACACAGTGGAGCTCCCATAGGATGCAATGGGGAGCTCCCATAGGACGCAGTGGAGCTCCCATAGGATGCAATGGGAAGCTCCCATAGGATGCAGTGGGGAGCTCCCATAGGACACAATGGGGAGCTCCCATAGGACACAGTGGGGAGCTCCCATAGGACACAATGGGGAGCTCCCATAGGACACAGTGGAGCTCCCATAGGACACAGTGGAGCTCCCATAGGATGCAATGGGAAGCTCCCATAGGATGCAGTGGGGAGCTCCCATAGGACACAATGGGGAGCTCCCATAGGACACAGTGGGGAGCTCCCATAGGACACAGTGTGGGGCTCCCATAGGACACAATGGGGAGCTCCCATAGGACACAATGGGAAGCTCCCATAGGACACAGTGGGGAGATCCCATAGGACACAGTGGGAAGCTCCCATAGGACACAGTGGGGAGCTCCCATAGGACACAATGGGGAGCTCCCATAGGACACAGTGGGAAGCTCCCATAGGACACAGTGGGGAGCTCCCATAGGACACAGTGGGGAGCTCCCATAGGACACAGTGGGGAGCTCCCATAGGACACAGTGGGAAGCTCCCATAGGACACAGTGGGGAGCTCCCATAGGACACAATGGGGAGCTCCCATAGGATGCAATGGGAAGCTCCCATAGGACACAATGGGAAGCTCCCATAGGACACAGTGCGGAGATCCCATAGGACACAATGGGGAGCTCCCATAGGACACAATGGGAAGCTCCCCTAGGACACAGTGGGAAGTTCCCATAGGACACAGTGGGGAGCTCCCATAGGACACAGTGGGGAGCTCCCATAGGACACAGTGGGGAGCTCCCATAGGACACACTGCAGGGAAGCTGACTGAGGAGGGTGGCAGCAGCTCCCGGCCATACATCTTCCCTCTTCCCAGCACCACCCTATCCCAGATCCCCCCTTGGCTGAGGTAAACCCTGGAATCCAAGCTGGGAATGCCCGGGTTAACGCCAGCACAACCCGGGCAGGGGTAAGGCAGCAGCTGAAGGGCAGGAGCCAAGAGGGAGCTTGGAGCCTGGAACCTGAGCCTGGAGATGAGGAATCCAAGGCAGGAATAATTCATGGAGGAGGAGGGATGGAACCCAACACCGCATCCCTGAGCCCCAGTGCAGCTCCAGGAGCGGGGGGAAAGGTGGGAATAGCTCCAACCCCCCCCCAAAGCAAGCAGCAAAGGAGCGGGATACCGGGAAGCCCTTCCCATCGGGATGAACGGGGAAGGGTTGGATGCTCCGTCCCCGGCAGTGCCCAAGGAGGAACCTGCCCCATGGAGGATGTCCCCATGATCCCGACTGTCATCCAGCAGCATTCCCGGTGCTCTCCAAAGCCTCCCCAGCAAACATTGCCCCCCCCCGGCCCTATTCCCAGCCCTTGTGGGGTCAAATGTTGGGATGAGGAGGACCCAAAGCCTCCTGAAGCCAATGGGAAGGGGCAATGGAGGACACTGGGAACACGGGATTCTGCCCTCATTCCAGATCCCATCACCGGCAACGGAACCCCGTTACCAGCAATGCAGCCCCGTTACCAGCAATGGAACCCTGTTACCAGCAATGCAGCCCCATTACCCCCATTGCAGCCCTGTTACCAGCAATGGAACCCCGTTACCAGCAATGCAGCCCCATTACCCCCATTGCAGCCCTGTTACCATCAATGGAAACCCAATGCAGCCCCATTACCCCCATTGCAGCCCCATTACCATCAATGGAACCCTGTTACCCCCATTGCAGCCCCATTACCCCCATTGCAGCCCCATTACCATCAATGGAACCCTGTTACCAGCAATGCAGCCCCGTTACCCCCATTGCGGCCCTGTTACCATCAACGGAACCCCGTTACCCCCATTGCAGCCCCATTACCATCAACGGAACCCTGTTACCAGCAATGCAGCCCCATTACCTCCATTGCAGCCCCGTTACCATCAACAGAACCCCGTTACCCCCATTGCAGCCCCATTACCATCCATGAACCCCGTTACCAGCAATGCAGCCCCGATACCATCAACAGAACCCCGTTACCAGCAATGCAGCCCCGTTACCCCCATTGCGGCCCTGTTACCATCAGTGCAGCCCCGTTACCATCAATGGAAACCTGTTACCCCCAATACAGCCCCGTTACCCCCAGTGCAGCCCTGTAACCATCAATGCAGCCCCATTACCCCCAGTGCAGCCCTGTTACCCCCAATACAGACCCGTTACTCCCATTGCAGCCCCGTTACCATCAATACAGCCCCATTACCCCCAGTGCAGCCCCGTTACCCCTAATGCAGCCCCATTACCCCCAATGGCACCCCGTTACCCCCAGTGCAGCCCCATTACCCCCAACGGCACCCCGTTACCCCCAATGCAGCCCCCTTAACCCCAATACAACCCTGTTACCATCAGTGCAGCCCCGTTACCATCAATGGAACCCTGTTACCCCCAATACAGACCCGTTACCCGCAGTGCAGCCCCGTAACCATCAATGCAACCCCATTACCCCCAATACAGCCCTGTTAACCCCAATGCAGCCCCGTTACCATCAATGGAACCCCGTTACCCTCAAGGTAGCCCCATTACCCCCAGTGCAGCCCCATTACCACCAGTGCAGCCTCGTTACCCTCAATGCAGCCCCGTTACCATCAATGGAACCCCATTACACCCAATGGCACCCCGTTACCCCCAATACAGCCCCCATAACCCCAATACAGCCCCGTTACCATCAATGAAACCCTGCTACCATCAATGCAGCCCCATTACCATCAATGCAGCCCCGTTACCCCCACTGCAGCCCCATTACCCCCAATGGAACCCCGTTACCCCCCAATACAGCCATTACCCCCAATACAGCCCCGTTACCCCCACTGCAGCCCCGTTACCATCAATGCAGCCCCGTTACCCCCACTGCAATACCCCCAAGAACCCCGTTACCCCCCATACAACCCCGTTACCCCCATACAACCCCATTACCCCCACTGCAGCCCCGTTACCCCCAATAAGCCCCGTTACCCCCAATACAGCCCCGTTACCCCCAATAAAACCCCGTTACCCCCAATACAGCCCCGTTACCCCCAATACAGCCCCGTTACCCCCAATGCAGCCCCGTTACCCCCAATACAGCCCCGTTACCATCAATGCAGCCCCGTTACCCTCAATACAACCCCGTTACCCCCAATACAACCCCGTTAGCCCCACTGCAACCCCGTTACCCCCAATACAACCCCGTTACCCCCATACAACCCCGTTACCCCCAACACAACCCCGTTACCCCCCATACAACCCCGTTACCCCCAATACAACCCCGTTACCCCCAATACAGCCCCGTTCCCACCCGCTCCCCCCACACCCCCCCCCCCCCGTACCGTGCCTCCAGGGGTCCTTGGGCTCCACGGCCCCGGACACGATGTCCTCGTCCGACGGGAACGTGACGCGCTTGGCCCCGGCCCGGAGCCGCCCGTCCTCGGCCTGGGCTCCGCGGGGCTCCGGGGCCTGCCCCGGGGCCTGCTCCATGGCGGAGCCGCTCCGCGCCCAGCGCCCCGCGCCCGCCGCGCCCGCAGATTCGACACGGGACCGAGGGTGGCGAATCTGCGGCGGCGAATCTGCGGTGGCGAATCTGCGGTGGCGAATCTGCGGTGGCGAATCTGCGGTGTTGAATCTGCGGTGTTGAATCTGCGGTGTTGAATCTGCCGTGGCGAATCTGCGGTGACGAATCTGCGGCGGCGAATCTGCGGTGTTGAATCTGCGGCGGCGAATCTGCGGTGGCGAATCTGTGGGGTTGAATCTGCGGTGTTGAATCTGTGGTGTTGAATCTGCGGTGGCGAATCTGCGGTGTTGAATCTGCGGCGGCGAATCTGCGGTGTTGAATCTGCGGTGTTGAATCTGCCGTGGCGAATCTGCGGTGTTGAATCTGCGGTGTTGAATCTGCCGTGGCGAATCTGCGGTGGCGAATCTGCGGTGTTGAATCTGCGGTGTTGAACGTCCCGTGGCGAATCTGCGGTGACGAATCTGCGGTGGCGAATCTGCGGTGTTGAATCTACGGTGTTGAATCTGCCGTGGCGAATCTGCGGTGTTGAATCTGCGGTGACGAACGTCCCGTGGCGAATCTGCGGCGGAGGGAACGGGGGTAGAGCCGGAGCGGAGCGGAGGTACCGGGGACAGGGCCCGTGTGGGGCTGGGGGCACTTGGGGGGCACTTAGGGGGCACTTAGGGGGCACTTGGGGGGCACCGTGGGTCTATGGGGGGGTCTGTGGGAGGTCTTGGAGGGTTGTGGGCCTGTGGGGGCCCTTGGGGACACCCTGGGCCTGATGGGAGGGGGGGGGCATGTGGGGCAGTGCGGGGCTCAGGGGCACTTGGGGGGCACCGTGGGCCTGGGGGGGTTCTATGGGGGGGGGGGCGTGTGGGGCAACGAAGGGGTTGAGGGGGGGCAGGTGTGGGGCGGTGAAAGGGGCTTGGAGGCACCGTGGGGCTATGGGGCGTCTTTGGGGGGGGGTCCTATGTGGGGCAGTGAAGGGTGCGGATATGGGGCAGTGAAGGGTGCGGATGTGGGGCAGTGAAGGGTGCGGATGTGGGGCAGTGAAGGGTGCGGATGTGGGGCAGTGAAGGGTGCGGATGTGGGGCAGTGAAGGGTGCGGATGTGGGGCAGTGAAGGGTGCAGATGTGGGGCAGTGAAGGGGTTGGGGAGGGGCTGTAGGGGGATCTTTTAATGGGGTGTAACCATGGAGTCCCCATGTGGGCTCTGCCCTATAGGTGTCTATGGGGCTGTGCCCTATCTATAGCTGTCTATAGATGTCTATGGGGCTGTGTGCTGTCTCTGGGTGTCTATGGGGCTGTGTGCTATCTATGGGGCTGTGCTCTGTCCATAGATGTCTATGGGGCTGTGCTCTGTCCATAGGTGCCTATGGGGCCGTGTGCTATCTATGGGGCTGTGCTCTGTCCATAGATGTCTATGGGGCCGTGTGCTATCTATGGGGCCGTGCTCTGTCCATAGGTGCCTATGGGGCTGTGTGCTGCCTATGGGGCTGTGTGCTATCTATGGGGCTGTGTGCTATCTATGGGGCTGTGTGCTATCTATGGGGCTGTGCTCTGTCCATAGATGTCTATGGGGCTGTGTGCTATCTGTGTGGCCTTGCTCTGTCCATAGATGTCTATGGGGCTGTGTGCTATCTATGGGACTGTGTGCTATCTATGGGGCCGTGCTCTGTCCATAGATGTCTATGAGGCTGTGTGCTCTCTATGGGGCTGTGTGCTGTCCATAGCTATCTATGGGGCTGTGTGCTCTCTATGGGGCTGTGTGCTCTCTATGGGGCTGTGTGCTATCTATGGGGCCGTGTGCTCTCTATGGGGCCGTGTGCTCTCTATGGGGCCATGTGCTCTCTATGGGGCCGTGTGCTGTCTATGGGGCCGTGTGCTGTCTATGGGGCCATGTGCTCTCTATGGGGCCGTGTGCTCTCTATGGGGCCGTGTGCTCTCTATGGGGCCGTGTGCTCTCTATGGGGCTGTGTGCTGTCCATAGCTCTCTATGGGGCTGTGTGCTGTCCATAGATGTCTATGGGGCTGTGTGCTCTCTATGGGGCTGTGTGCTGTCCATAGCTCTCTATGGGGCTGTGTGCTGTCCATAGCTCTCTATGGGGCCGTGTGCTCTCTATGGGGCTGTGTGCTCTCTATGGGGCTGTGTGCTGTCCATAGCTATCTATGGGGCTGTGTGCTATCCATAGCTCTCTATGGGGCTGTGTGCTGTCCATAGCTGTGTGGCCTTCCTCTGTCCACAGGTGCCGATGCCCGGGGCTGCCTCTCCCCGCGCTCCCCCCCCCCGCGCAGTCGCCATGAGCGGGGCCGAGGACGCGGAGCCGGTGCCGGTGCCGGTGCTGCGGCTGCCGCGGGGCCCGGACGGGCGGAGCCGCGGGTTCGAGTCCCGCCGGGGACCGCGTCCGGAGGAGGCGGAGGCGGAGGCGGAGGCGGAGGCGCAGCGGGCGCGGGCGCGGCTCCGGGCCCGGTTCCTGCGGGCGCTGGGGGCCGGACGGGGCCGCCCCGCTGGGTTCCGGCTCCGCGGCGGGGTCCGCGTGGAGGCCACGCTGGGGGCGGCGGAGCGGGAGGCGGCGGCGCTGCTCGTGGAGGGGCTCCGGACCCCGCTGGGCCGGCAGGAGGCGGCGCTGCTCCGCGGCTCCGACGTCATCGGGTTCCGCTTCCACGTGACCGGCGCCGGGGCACCCGCGCCGTGAGGGACGGGGACACCCTGAGGCCCGTGGGGATCCCTTGTGGTCTATGGGGGATCCATTGTGATCTATGGGGGATCCGCTGTGTGCTATGGGGATCCCTTGTGGCCTATGGGGGATCCATTGTGGTCTATGGGGGATCCACTGTGGTATATGGGGGATCCAATGTATCCAATAGGAGATCCATTATACCCTATGGGGGATCCATTGTGGTCTGTGGGGGATCCCTTGTGGTCTATGGGGGATCCCTTGTGGTCTATGGGGGATCCGTTGTGGTCTATGGGGGATCCACTGTGGTCTATGGGGATCCGTTGTGGTCTATGGGGGATCCACTGTGGTCTATGGGGATCCGTTGTGTGCTATGGGGGATCCAATGTATCCAATAGGAGATCCATTATATCCTATGGGGGATCCATTGTGGTCCATGGGGATCCACTGCGGCCTATGGGGTGTACAGTGTGTGCTATGGAGATCCATTATATCCTATGGGAGAGACCTTGTGGTCTATGGGGATCCGTTGTGGCCTATGGGGGATCCATTGTGGTCTATGGGGATCCACTGCGGCCTATGGGGGATCCCTTGGAGCCTATGGGGATCCGCTGTGGTCTATGGGGGATCCACTGTGGTCTATGGGGATCCACTGTGGCCTATGGGGATCCATTGTGGTCTATGGGGGATCCATTGTGGCCTATGGGGGATCCGCTGTGTGCTATGGGGGATCCAATGTATCCAATAGGAGATCCATTATATCCTATGGGGGATCCATTGTGGTCCATGGGGATCCATTGTGGTCTATGGGGTGTACAGTGTGTGCTATGGGATCCATTATACACAGTGTGTGCTATGTACAGTGTGTGCTATGGGGATCCCAATGTATCCTATGAGTGTCCATTATATCCTATGGGACAGACAGTGTGTGTGTGCTATGGGGTGTACAGTGTGTGCTATGGGTGTGTATGCTATGGGGTGTACATGTGTGTGTGCTATGGGGTGTACAGTGTGTGCTATGTGGGATCCAATGTGTGCTATGGGATGTACAATGTGTGTGCTATGGGACAGATCCATTATACCATGTGTGTGCTATGGGATGTACAGTGTGTGTGTGCTTTGGGATGTACAGTGTGTGTGCGCTATGGGATGTACAATGTGTGTGCTATGGGATGTACAATGTGTGTGTGCTATGGGATGTACAATGTGTGTGTGTGTGTGCTGTGTGTGCTATGTACCACTGTACAATGTGTGCTATGTGTGTGTGCTATGGGATGTAGTGTGTGTGTTATATCCTACAATGTGTGTGTGTGTGCTATGGGATGTACAATGTGTGTGTGCTATGGGATGTACAATGTGTGTGTGCTATGGGATGTACAATGTGTGTGTGCTATGGTACAATGTGTGTGGATGTACAATGTGTGTGTGCTATGGGTACAATGTGTGTGTGCTGTGGGATGTCCAATGTGTGTGTGCTTATGTACAATGTGTGTGTGTGTGTGCTATGGGATGTACAATGTGTGTGTGCTATGGGATGTACATGTGTGTGTGTGCTATGTGTGGGATGTACAATGTGTGTGTGCTATGGGATGTACAATGTGTGTGTGCTATGGGATGTACAATGTGTGCTATGGGATGTACAATGTGTGTGTGCTATGGGATGTACAATGTGTGTGTGCTATGGGATGTACAATGTGTGTGTGCTAGTGTGTGTGGCTATGGGATGTACAATGTGTGTGTGCTATGGGATGTATGTGTGTGATGTACAATGTGTGTGCTATGGGATGTACATGTGTGTGTGCTATGTACAATGTGTGAATGTACAATGTGTGTGCTATGGGATGTACAATGTGTGTGTGCTATGGGATGTTCTATGTGTGTGCTATGGGTTGTACAATGTGTGTGTGTGCTATGGGATGTACAATGTGTGTGTGCTATGGGATGTATGTGTGCAATGTGTGTGTGCTATGGGATGTACAATGTGTGTGCTATGGGATGTACAATGTGTGTGCTATGGGATGTACAATGTGTGTGTGCTATGGGATGTACAATGTGTGTGCTATGGGATGTACAGTGTGTGTGTGCTATGGGATGTACAGTGTGTGTGCTATGGGATGTACAATGTGTGTGTGTGCTATGGGATGTACAATGTGTGTGTGCTATGGGATGTACATGGGATGTGTGTGCTATGGGATGTACAATGTGTGTGTGCTATGGGATGTACAATGTGTGTGTGCTATGGGATGTACAGTGTGTGTGTGCTATGGGATGTACATTGTGTGTGTGCTATGGGATGTACAATGTGTGTGCTATGGGATGTACAATGTGTGTGTGCTATGGGATGTACAATGTGTGTGCTATGGGATGTACAGTGTGTGTGTGCTATGGGATGTACAATGTGTGTGTGCTATGGGATGTACAATGGGATGTACAATGTGTGCTATGGGATGTACAATGTGTGTGTGCTATGGGATGTACAATGTGTGTGTGCTATGGGATGTACAAGTGTGTGTGTGCTATGGGATGTGTGTGTACAATGTGTGCTATGGGATGTACAATGTGTGTGCTATGGGATGTACAATGTGTGTGTGCTATGGGATGTACAATGTGTGTGTGCTATGGGATGTACAATGTGTGTGCTATGGGATGTACAATGTGTGCTATGGGATGTACAATGTGTGTGCTATGGGATGTACAATGTGTGTGTGCTATGGGATGCACCCCGTGTCCTCCGGGCGCTCCCCCCTCTCCATCCCCCCCATCCCCTCCATGATCCTCACTCCCATTCCCATTTCCCACCTTTATTTGCCTTCGGGCCCCTCAGTGCCGGTAATGGGGGCTGCGGGACCGCGACCGGGAGCGCCTATGGGGTGCAGAGACGGAGGCGTTGGGAATGGGGGGGGGGGGGGTCTCCATGACCTGCAACCCCCGGGCCCCCCGGATGTGGGGCGGGATGCTCCTACCTCCGGGACGAGCTGTATTCCCGACCTGCAAGCACAGGGATGCGCTCAGGGACCCTTTCCCATGGGAATGCTGCTGCTTTTCCTTCCCTCCCCTCCCCACTGTGGGGCTGGGAAGCCCTTGTGCCCCACAGCTCCCCCCGCCCCTGCCCCATAGGGACTCACTGTAGCGGGGGGACGGGGACCGGCTCTGGCGGCTGTACTGGCGCTCCCACTCCTCCCGCTCCTTCTCCCGGCGTTCCCGTTCCCTGCCGGGGAGGAAAAAGGGATGGGAATTCCATTGGGAATGATGGGGGGATCCATGGGGGGAATGAGATGGGGGGATCCATTGGGAATGATGGGGGGATCCATGGGGAATGATGGGGGGATCTATTGGGAATGATGGGGGGATCCATGGGGAATGATGGGGGGATCTATTGGGAATGATGGGGGGGATCCGTTGGGAATGATGGGGGGGATCCGTGGGAATGATGGGGGGATCCGTGGGAAAGATGGGGGGATCCGTGGGGAATGATGGGGGGGGATCCATGGGGAATGATGGGGGGATCCGTTGGGAATGATGGGGGGGATCCATTGGGAATGATGGGGGGGATCCATTGGGTATGATGGGGGGATCCATTGGGAATGATGGGGGGATCCATGGGGAATGATGGGGGGGATCCATGGGGAATGATGGGGGGATCCATGGGGAATGATGGGGGGATCCATGGGGAATGATGGGGGGATCCATTGGGAATGATGGGGGGGATCCATTGGGAATGATGGGGGGAGCAGCGCAGCCCCCCCTGGATCCATTGGGAATGATGGGGGGGATCCATTGGGAATGATGGGGGATCCATTGGGAATGATGGGGGGGATCCATGGGGAATGATGGGGGGGTGACACACTCACTTCATGCGGATCTTCCGGGCCATGGCTCGGAGCTCGTCCTCCCGCTCCTATGGGAGAGCAGAGACCCATAACCTGGTGTGTGCCCCCCCTGCCCCATAACCTGGTGTGTGCCCCCCCTGCCCCATAACCTGAGGTGTGCCCCCCCTGCCCCATAACCTGAGGTGTGCCCCCCCTGCCCCATAACCTGGTGTGTGCCCCCCCTGCCCCATAACCTGGTGTGTGCCCCCCCTGCCCCATAACCTGGTGTGTGCCCCATAACCTGGTGTGTGCCCCCCCTGCCCCATAACCTGGTGTGTGCCCCCCCTGCCCCATAACCTGGTGTGTGCCCCCACTGCCCCCTGCCCCATAACCTGGGGTGTGCCCCATAACCTGGTGTGTGCCCCCCTCCAGCCCCATAACCTGGTGTGTGCCCCATAACCTGGTGTGTGCCCCCCTCCAGCCCCATAACCTGGTGTGTGCCCCATAACCTGGTGTGCCCCCACCACCCCCCACCCCATAACCTGGTGTGTGCCCCCCCCGCCCCATAACCTGGTGTGTGCCCGCCCCCACCCCATAACCTGGTGTGTGCCCCATAACCTGGTGTGTGCCCCATAACCTGGTGTGCCCCCCCCCACCCCATAACCCGGTGTGTGCCCCATAACCTGGTGTGTGCCACCCCCCACCCCAGCCCCATAACCTGGTGTGCCCCCCCCCCACCCCATAACCCGGTGTGTGCCCCATAACCTGGTGTGTGCCCCCCCCCCGCCCCATAACCTGGTGTGTGCCCCCCCCCCACCCCATAACCTGGTGTGTGCCCCATAACCTGGTGTGTGCCCCCCCCCCGCCCCATAACCTGGTGTGTGCCCCATAACCTGGTGTGTGCCCCCCTCCAGCCCCATAACCTGGTGTGTGCCACCCCCCCCCAGCCCCATAACCTGGTGTGTGCCCCCCCCCCCCCCCAGCCCCATAACCTGGGGTGTGCCCCCCCGCCCCATAACCAGGCTGTGCCCCCCCACCTGTCTCTCGTGTTCCTGCTGCAGCATCTTCTCCTGCGCTGCCTTCTTGTCAGCTTTAACTGCAGGGAACAGGGGGGGTCAGTGGGGATATGGGGGTCAATGGGGACAGGGGGGTCAATGGGGACATGGGGGTCAATGGGGACATGGGGGGGTCAATGGGGACATGGGGGGGTCAATGGGGACATGGGGGTCAATGGGGACATGGGGGGGTCAATGGGGACATGGGGGGGTCAATGGGGGCGGGGGGGGTCAATGGGGACATGGGGTGTCAGTGGGGACATGGGGGTCAATGGGGACATGGGGGTCAATGGGGGTGGGGGGGTCAATGGGGACATGGGGGTCAATGGGGACATGGGGGTCAATGGGGACATGGGGGGGTCAATGGGGACATGGGGGTCAATGGGGGTCAATGGGGATCAATGGGGACAATGGGGGGTCAATGGGGACATGGGAGGGTCAATGGGGACATGGGGGTCAATGGGGACATGGGGGGGTCAATGGGGACATGGGGGTCAATGGGGACATGGGGGGGTCAATGGGGACATGGGGGTCAATGGGGACATGGGGGGGTCAATGGGGACATGGGGGTCAATGGGGACATGGGGGTCAATGGGGACATGGGAGGGTCAATGGGGACATGGGGGTCAATGGGGACATGGGAGGGTCAATGGGGACATGGGAGGGTCAATGGGCACATGGGGGTAGATGGGGATATGGGGGGCTCAGTGGGGACAGGGGGGTCAATGGGGACATGGGGGGGTCAATGGGGACATGGGGGCGTCAATGGGGACGGGGGGGTCAATGGGGATATGGGGGTCAATGGGGACATGGGGGTCAATGGGGATGGGGGGGGTCAAAGGGGACGGGGGGGTCAATGGGGATATGGGGGTCAATGGGGGCAGGGGGTCAATGGGGATATGGGGGGGGTCAATGGGGGCAGGGGGGTCAAAGGGGACATGGGAGGGTCAATGAGGACATGGGGGGGGTCAGTGGGGACGGGGGGGTCAATGGGGACATGGGGGGGGTCAATGGGGGCAGGGGGGTCAAAGGGGACATGGGAGGGTCAATGAGGACATGGGGGGGGTCAGTGGGGATGGGGGGGTCAATGGGGACATGGGGGGGGTCAATGGGGGCAGGGGGGTCAAAGGGGACATGGGAGGGTCAATGAGGACATGGGGGGGTCAATGGGGACGGGGGGGTCAATGGGGACAGGGGGGTCAATGGGGACATGGGGGTCAATGGGGACGGGGGGGTCAATGGGGACATGGGAGGGTCAATGGGGACATGGGGGGTCAATGGGGATACGGCAGGGTCAATGGGGTGCCCATGGGGTGTCTATAGGGTGTCTATGGGATGTCTATGGGGTGTCTATGGAGTGTCCATGGGGCGTCTATAGGGTGTCTATGGGGTGTCTATGGGGTGTCCATGGGGTGTCTATAGGGTGTCTATGGGATGTCTATGGGGTGTCTATGGTGTGTCCATGGGGTGTCTATGGGGTGCCCATGGGTTGCCCATGGGGGCTCTATGGGGTGTCCATGGGGTGTCTATGGGGTGCAATGGGGGTGCTCTCACACTGCCGGTTCAGCGCCTTCTGCATGCGCAGCCTCAGCTTCTCCTGCGGGGTCAGCTTGGGCTGCAAGGACCCGGAGCCCCTGTGACCATGGGGGGCACACGGGGACGGCGCTGCAGCCCCCCACCCATGGGACCCATCCATGGTGGGACCCCCCCCTGCAGCACCCATGGGACCCATCCATGGTGGGACCCCCCCCCCGCAGCACCCATGGGACCCATCCATGGTGGGACCCCCCCCCTGCAGCACCCATGGGACCCATCCATGGTGGGACCCCCCCCCCGCAGCACCCATGGGTGCTTGGGGGGGCAACTGGGTGATGGGGACAGCCCATAGGAACGGGGGGGATCTTGGGGGGTCCCAGTGCCCCATGGCCAGCTCCCAATGGATCCCAGTGCCCCATGGCGAGCTCCCAATGGATCCCAATGCCCCATCACCAGCTCCCAATGGATCCCAGTGCCCCATGGCCAGCTCCCAGTGGATCCCAGTGCCCCATGGCCAGCTCCCAATGGATCCCAGTGCCCCATGGCCACCTCCCAATGGATCCCATTGCCCCATGGCCAGCTCCTAATGGATCCCAATGCCCCATGGCCAGCTCCCAATGGATCCCAGTGCCCCATGGCCAGCTCCCAGTGGATCCCAGTGCCCCATGGCCAGCTCCCAATGGATCCCATTGCCCCATGGCCAGCTCCCAATGGATCCCATTGCCCCATGGCCAGCTCCCAATGCATCCCATTGCCCCATGACCAGTTCCCCACAGATCCCAATGCATCCCATTGCCCCATGGCCAGCTCCCAATGGATCCCATTGCCCCATGGCCAACTCCCAATGGATCCCACTGCCCCATGGCCAGCTCCCAATGCATCCCATTGCCCCATGACCAGCTCCCAATGGATCCCATTGCCCCATGGCCAGCTCCCAGTGGATCCCAGTGCCCCATGGCCAGCTCCTAATGGATCCCAATGCCCCATGGCCACTCCTAATGGATCCCAATGCCCCATGGCCAGCTCCCAATGGATCCCATTGCCCCATGGCCATCTCCCAATGCATCCCAGTGCCCCAGGGCCAGCTCCCAGTGGATCCCAGTGCCCCATGGCCAGCTCCCAATGGATCCCATTGCCCCATGGCCAGCTCCCAATGCATCCCAGTGCCCCATGGCCAGCTCCCAATGGATCCCAGTGCCCCATGGCCAGCTCCCAATGGATCCCAGTGCCCCATGGCCAGCTCCCAATGCATCCCATTGCCCCATGGCCAGCTCCCAATGGATCCCAGTGCCCCATGGCCAGCTCCCAATGGATCCCAGTGCCCCATGGCCAGCTCCCAATGCATCCCAGTGCCCCATGGCCAGCTCCCAATGCATCCCAATGCCCCATGGCCAGCTCCCAATGGATCCCAATGCCCCATGGCCACCTCCCAATGCATCCCATTGCCCCATGACCAGTTCCCCACAGATCCCAATGCATCCCATTGCCCCATGGCCAGCTCCTAATGGATCCCAATGCCCCATGGCCAGCTCCTAATGGATCCCAATGCCCCATGGCCAGCTCCCCACGGATCCCAATGCCCCACGGCCAGCTCCCAATGCATCCCATTGCCCCATGGCCAGCTCCCAATGGATCCCATTGCCCCATCCCAGCTCCCCATGGCCAGCTCCCAATGCATCCCATTGCCCCATGGCCAGCTCCCAATGCATCCCATTGCCCCATGGCCAGCTCCCAATGCATCCCATTGCCCCATGGCCAGCTCCCAATGCATCCCATTGCCCCATGGCCAGCTCCCAATGGATCCCATTGCCCCATGACCACCACCCCACAGATCCCCCTGCCAGCAGCCCCCCCCCCCCCCCCCCATATCCCAGGGGCTATCCCGGCCGGTCCCAGGCTCCCAGCGGGAAGCGGGATGAGCACGGGGGGGGAGCCCCCCCTTTTCCGCTGCGCTTCCGTTCTTACTGACTTTGGCAGCTCCCGTCTCTTTACCGGCTGCACTGTCAGGCCTGGGGGGACGGGAAGGGGTCAGGCTCCGGCATTCCCGGTATTCCCGGTATTCCCGGCATCCCCACGCCCTCACTTTTTCAGCTTCTCCCCCACGGCGGGCGATGCTGTGGGGCGCGGAGCCTTGTCCCGCTCCGGAGACTGGGATCTGCTGGCGCTGCGGGAATCGCTGCGGCTCCGGCTGCTCCGGCTGCTGCTCCAGTGGCGCCGGCGCCGGGAGCGGCTCCTGGCAATGGGGCAGAGGGGTCCATAGGGAATGCATTGGGGTGGGGGGGGATGGAGAAGCCCCATGGAAAGGGATTGGGCACTGGGGGAGGAGCTCACTTTGGCAGCTCCCGTCTCTTTACCGGCTGCACTGTCAGGCCTGTGGGGAGGGGTCAGCTCCATTGCTGTCCTATGGGGCTCCATTGCCCATGGGGGCTCCTGTTGTGTCCTATGGGATGCTCCATTGTGCTCCTATGGGATGCTGCACTGTGTCCTATGGGAATCCCACTGGGGGCTGCCCCGGCTGTGTCCTATGGGATCTCCCCACTGTGTCCTATGGAACCCCCCCACTGTGTCCTATGGGATCTTCTCATTGTATCCTAAGGGACCCCCCTACTGTGTCCTATGGGATCTCCCCATTCTATCCTATGGATGCTCCAGTGTGTCTTATGGGAATTTCCCACTGTGTCCCATAGGAGCTATACTGTGTCCTATGGGATCTCCCCATTGTATCCTATGGATGCTGCACTGTGTCCTATGGGAACTTCCCACTGTGTCCTATGGAACCCCCCTACTGTGTCCTATGGGATCTCCCCACTCTATCCTATAGATGCTCCAGTGTGTCTTATGGGATCTCCCCACTGTGTCCCATGGGAGCTCTACTGTGTCCTATGGGATCTCCCCATTCTATCCTATGGATGCCCCACTGTGTCCTATGGAACCCCCCCATTGTGTCCTATGGGATCTCCCCATTGTGTCCTATGGGATCTCCCCATTCTATCCTGTGGATGCTCCACTGTGTCCGATGGGATCTCCCCATTGTGTCCTATGGGATCTCCCCATTGTGTCCTATGGGAGCTCCCCATTGTATCCTATGGATGCTCCACTGTGTATTATGAGATCTCCCCATTGTTTCCTATGGGATCTCCCCATTCTATCCTATGGATGCTCCACTGTGTCCGATGGGATCTCCCCATTGTGTCCTATGGGAGCTCTCCATTGTATCCTATGGAACCCCCCCCTTGTGTCCTATGGGATCTCCCCATTGTGTCCTATGGGAGCTCCCCATTGTATCCTATGGATGTTCCACTGTGTCCTATGAGATCTCCCCATTCTATCCTGTGGATGCTTCACTGTGTCCGATGGGATCTCCCCATTGTATCCTATGGGATCTCCCCATTGTTTCCTATGGGAGCTCCCCATTCTATCCTGTGGATGCTCCACTGTGTATTATGAGATCTCCCCATTGTTTCCTATGGGATCTCCCCATTCTATCCTGTGGATGCTCCACTGTGTCCGATGGGATCTCCCCACTGTGTCCTATGGGAGCTCCCCATTGTGTCCTATGGGAGCTCCCCACTGTGTCCTATGGGATCTCCCTATTCTATCCTATGGATGCTCCACTGTATCCTATGGAACCCCCCCATTGTACCCCACGGGATCTCCCCTCTGCGCCCCCCCCCACACCGGACGCTCAGGATCCCCCCCGCGTCCGCGCTCACCTGGAGCGGCGCCGGGAGCCGTAGCGATGGCCCCGCTCCGGGGAATAGGACCTGGAGCGGCGGCGCCCGTTCCCGGAATAGCGGCGGGAGCGCGAGCGCGAGCGGGAATAACGGCGGCCGTGCCCGTAGCGCCGCGAGGAACCCCCCCCCCCTCCACCACCGCGGCGGGAGCGGGAGCTGGAGCGGGAGCTGGATGAGGAAGACGACGACGACGACGGCGACGATGATGATGATGATGGCGACGACGCCGCGCGGCGCCTGCAAGAGAGCGCCGGCATCGCGCCGCGCATCCCATGGGCGCGGGGATGGAGGCACCCACCCCACCCCACACACACAACGTCCCATCCCAGTCCCATCCCATTGGGAAGGAGGAGCGTTGGGAAGCGGCACCCACCGGGATGAGGCGCCGTGGCCCGGTGCCGGTGCCGCGCGGGCTCTGCCGGTGGTGCCGGTGGTACCGGTGGTGCCGGTGGGCGCAGGCTCCTCATCGCTGCCACCGAAGCTGGTGATGAAGGTGATCTTCTCCTCGCGGCCCGGAGACGGCGTCCGCGAGCGGGAGCGGGACCCCGAGCTCGACTCCGAGGGGGAGCTGTGGGGAGAAAGGGGTCAGGGGGTGGTTGTGGGGTGGGGGGAAGTGTGGGGCTGGGAAAGGGGTCAGGGGGTGGTTGTGGGGGGAAGTGTGGGGCTGGGAAAGGGGTCAGGGGGTGGTTGTGGGGGGAAGTGTGGGGCTGGGAAAGGGGTCAGGGGGTGGTTGTGGGGGGAAGTGTGGGGCTGGGAAAGGGGTCAGGGGGTGGTTGTGGGGGGGAAGTGTGGGGCTGGGAAAGGGGTCAGGGGGTGGTTGT